TGGTTAATTTGGACGGCGAGGCCATCGGCATCAACACCATGAAAGTGACGGCCGGCATATCGTTCGCCATTCCCAGCAATTATGCCAAAGGTTTTCATTGAGTGCGATATTTGTCTCGTTTTTTCTATAATTAATTTTCTATAATTAACTCAATATTAAAGAGTTTATCGAAAGAGCGAATCGATTCAAACAGAAGACAGACAAAGACAGGAGCGCCGAAAAATTGTCGAAACGGAACCGATATATCGGTATAACTATGTTATCATTGAATGCAAAGCTTATCGAAGAATTGAGATCACGAGAAGACAGTTTCCCAGACGTGAAGAACGGCATTCTTATATGGAAAGTGGTGTTGGGCTCACCCGCGCACCTGTATGTCCATTACATACAATGAATTACTTGTAATTAATAAATGTTGTCTACTCTATAGGGAAGGCCTACAACCGGGAGATATCATAACACGAATTAATGGTCACTAGCGATGAAGACATCTCCTACACATATTTCGGGACCTTTAACTTGTCAACAACTCATAATGACAGGCGTCTTTTCTATCTCTATAATTAGAACAATAATTTGGCGTTTAGTAATGAATTACAGAATTTTTAAGATTTGAATTTTGTGTAAATTTTGTTTTAAATAATTTTATGAGATCTACAAAGTGATCACCGAATACATTGAAACACAAATCATTGGAAAATATGTCCTAAAATTAGTTAAACGATGCAATTTTGTATATTAAATAATTATATATAGATTTTATTCACAATAATATATTAAATATATACAACTTTATATAATATTTAAATTAAACCCTAATTTAAATTAAATCTAATGAGTAGTGAGAGAAGCATTAGAGTTAACGAAAGGCTAATGTTTGGCGCAAATGAGCTGATATTGACGGAAAAGTCGTCCAAAACGACAATTTTGTGTCCCATATTCCTATGAGTATAGCTCTGATAATAGACAACATCGGGAACACTAGAGTTGGGCGTCCACTGCAAAATGGCTGCGTTTCCCTCTTCGCACGTGTAGTTCAGTGAAGATCTGTATTGAATAATAGTGATCGCTACTTCTGTAGAGGATGTGTATAAAGCCCTGGAAATTGAACAGTTGTTGAGTATTACTGTCCGCAGAAAAGATAGAGATATTAATCTTGTTATTAAACCGCAAATCATTACTTAATGTAAATTTTGAGATTTGAATTGTGTAAATTTTGTTTTTTAAATAATTTTATGAGATCTACAAAGTGATCACCGAATACATTGAAACACAAATCATTGGAAAATATATCCTAAAATTAGCTAAACGATGCAATTTTGTATATTAAATAATTATATATCGATTTTATTCACAATAATATATTAAATATATACAATTTTATAAAATATTTAAATTTAAACCTAATTTAAATTAAATCTAATGAGTAGTGAGAGAAACATTAGAGTCAGCGAAAGGCTAATGTTTGGCGCAAATGAGCTGATATTGACGGAAAAGTCGTCCAAAACGACAATTTTGTGGCCCATATTCCTATGAGTATAGCTCTGATAATAGACAACATCGGGAACACTAGAGTTGGGCGTCCACTGCAAAATGGCTGCGTTTCCCTCTTCGCACGTGTAGTTCAGTGAAGATCTGTATTGAATAAAGTTGTGAAAGTTATCGGCTTTGCGTTTGTCTGTGTGTTGGTATGGGAGCCAAGCGCACAGTCTGCCCGCCGAGGTTGGCGTCGGTCTGCCTTTCTTATCAAACTCAACGCCAGCGTAAACCACATATTTCTTGCGCTCACTGTCCGTGTGCTCAACAAAACCTCCGTTCGGGTCATTCGTGATGTAAAGGGGATGATAGAGATGGGCGTTATAGGGGTTGTTCCCGCCCTCCACTCGGAACGTATAGGTTCGGCCCCTCTTTACGTATAATATGGGCGCCAATAAGCCGTTTATATACCAAACCATACCCGGAGAGCCGCTACCCGACGAACCATAATATCCTTTTAAACCCCCGGCGTCGCCGATTCGGGCGTAAAATGTGGTCAGAGTTCGGTTCAGTAGTCGGAGGGGTCCCCAGGGTTTGGCTTTTGGTTGAATGATTCCCACGGATTCTTTCAATGAAGTGAAATGAAAACAATTATTCTCAGCCTTTCGGCCAAATTCTAGCCTAACGTCTCCTTTCGGGTAAATGTAATGAATGTTCGGTTCGCGTAATGAATTGAGTTTCCCGATCGCCCACACAATGTATTGTCCATTCTTTTCATATACCAGATCCCCCTCATCTCCTGTCATCAAAAACACAATACAATTCAATATAAAGTTTTATCGCGTTTTTATTCACAGTTAATTAAATACCAGTATTAATTATGTTTCGACGAAAAGTGATTTTTGTTAACGAATCCACTCTTTCAAAGAGATGAATTTGATAGTTGTCTACTCCTCCGACCCGACTGTCCAAACAAACACCTCTATAATTGCCAAATATATTTGTGCACTAAATTCAAAGCAAAATACATTTACTTTTAAATGTCTAAAATTTATGTTTAATTTTAGGCAAAAACTTACCGGAAATTTGCCGCTAATATTGTAGTCAGAAGTATATCCCAAATGGCCATCGAGATGAGAGACGGCCACATCTGATCCAATCATTTGAGACGAGTTCTTAGAGCCACTTAATCCAAAAGCGATGTAATCTTTTGGTTCAATTTGTGCCACCATTTGGAAAGTGATTTGCGGTCCAAATATTTCCCAATTTAATTGTAATTTTTGATGCAATTGTTCGCAATTAGGAAGACGTGACTCATGTTTCTAAATTAAATCAACCAATAATTAAAATCTAAAATTAATAATCATTTTTAGATTACAATGATTTTGGTGAGAGAGGGAGGAATGTTTAGTTCGTCTGGAATTAAAACGGATCCGAAGTTCTCTTTGGTCTCGTCGTCCCAAATGGCCAGAAAGTCGATATCAAAGATAGTCATCTCTCCCGGAAGTTCTAATACAATTGTCTCTTCATTATAAGCGCCAATCGGATCGATACTAATGGCAAAACATTTGTAAATTAATATGTTTTGCCTCATAAAGTGTGGTCTAAATGTTGTATCGCTTACTATCCCCTCTCATTTGGGATCTTCTTTCCGGCTGAGTTCGGCTGTGGACCCGTTCCCACCCAAAAGTATGCACTTTTACTCAACCCGTCATAAGTGAGATCCGGTATT